GTGGTCGTGTACCAGTTCCGGTTCCTTGTCGATCGTTGAATCCTTCTCTGAGGTTGCGAATAGATGTCCCACTCGTTGTACAACTACCATAAGCGTTTTTGGTGCATACAGTCAGCAGGTAACAATTGACAACCTTGCGATTGTTCATCCATCGCTAACCGAAATCGGTGATAGGTGTGATCATTCGATGTTTCAATCCTTATAAGAGACGAACGGCTTTTTGATTAGTAGTCAAGGGCAAGGTGTGTTATACGGTAAGACTATCTGGGATACTGTATAGGTCTGAAGTTTTAAAACGGTGAGCTGAAGATCTTGATGGCGAGTCCTTATTAGACGACCTATAATTTATGATGCCATCAAATTGCAACACACTCTGATGAAGCCGACCAGTTGGCAAACGACACTAGATTCTTGGGTCGGCTACTGATTATTTGTAAGTAGTAGTCGCCTTAGCAACATACTTGCCACCTGGATTGGTGGCGGCTTGCAAAGGAAATCTTTGCTCTGGGGACACCCCAGTCCTCTGCACATCCGTAACCTGCAAGACGGTGGTGAATGAGCCGCGCTATATCGGTTAGATATCAGTCATGGCGGTCCACTGCCGTCGCCCATGGCTCAGTGACATAAGTCGCTGACTCGCATGCGTAAGATCGTGGGTTCGAATCCGGCAGGATTCGGCGGGCGTGCGCTACTGACTAGTCTTAATAGGACGAAACGGCCGTCTAGCGCTTTCTTGGATGTGTGGTGGCTATCTGTCTGTGTTTAATTTTGACGAAGCTACACAAAAACCTAATAAATCCCCCTACTACTTACAGTTTCCTGGATATTATAAACTGGGAAGTCGTAGCCCTTTTACTCCTCTCCATAGCTTTAAGAATTATGAAATTATGGCTACTCAGGCGGTAATTTGCAACATCCCGTTTTGAGCCTTTTTATATCTTGGTATAACAGCAGCGTGTTTCCAGTGATACAGAACAGTGTTGGCTTTCATTGACAAGATGAATATATTCTGCGAAAGACTAGGGATATCCGGACTTTCGTATTTCATTAAAGCTGACCTAATGCCACCAGGACCATCATTAAAGGACGGCTTCATGGCGTTAAGCGAGTTCGTTATTTCTTCAATATGGAAGTCTATTATCCACAGTATGTCGTCTATAAGTCGTTTCGAAGGTATGATATTTGTTCATTTGTATGGCAGTTGAAAGACGGACGAAAATGCTCGTTGAAAATATTATTAATTACTAAAGGATTATCCTCTGACGTGGAGGTAGGGATTGCAATGGGCGTGATACAGTCGTTTCTGCATCCTCTTCTTCTCTCTAGAAGCCTTATAAGTTCCTTCGGCTTATTTGAGTCTACAAGAGATTAACACCGTCTCCCAGCTCGACCAGATTCTTACTTGCAGACTACACTATGGACGCTATATAGTATGGTGAAGTCATGTGATTGCTTATAGCGACCGACCGGTTTGCTGATTTTTCATTTAGCAAGGGGTGCTGACGCAAGCGTTACCAGTAGTTTTGTGGGTGCTCATTTAGCAAAAGTGGAGCGATAGTGTCTCAGCATCGGTTTGTCTGATGATAAAAAGTTTCAGCGGCAACATCTGGATTACATGTGAGAAAGAATTCATCCCACGGCATTGTTCTTATTAGCGTTTTGAACGTGTCCCAGTTGATCGAACGGTATAGCCGGTAGAATATATCGATGTACTCTGTCTTCGATACTTGTGTGAGCATAGTGCAACTGAATAGCACCGCATTATGACCACTGCCCGGAAGTTAGTCCAGGATCTTGACATTACCATCGAGAATTCCCAAGTAGACAAGATGTTGGCGTTTTGTTGACGAAACGTGTTGTGACCAACCTTGCGAGAAATAGTCGAAAGAAACACATCCAACGTAGATGGGGATGTATAAGTGTGCCACGATACTTCTGGCATATCGAAATCCCCTGTGAATAGTTTGTACTTAGCTTGATGGTCTGTAACGCAATCGAATATATCGGCGAGAAGTCGGATATCAGTTTTGTCAAAATGTGATGGACTGTAGATGCACGCTATGAGGAAGCTGCGCTGATTTATCTCAGCCGTGATCCATACAAAGTCAGCGAAATCGTTAAGCATCGGTTCAACCGAAGGTGAGGTGGGGATTGTTTCATCGATGTATATCGTGCAACCTCCTCCCCGGCAACTGAATCGGTTATTATTGAAGCTAAGATATCCGGGGATAAGATAATGTGGTTCTAGCGTCCGGTGAGTAAAGGTTTCAGTAACCAGAATAATTTGAGGATTCGGCGAAGTTGTAACATGGAGGAGATAATGCGGCGAGACGCAGCAGATTGAACGGATTCAACACGTCGCTACCAGGCTCATCTCGAGTTTGCGAGGCTTACCGTACTAGGACAGGTGTGAGAGACTGGGACTGTTCACTCTGACATACCGTCGGTTACTTGTTCACCTCAGCATGACCGACCGGATTCTATATGAAGGCAACTTCCCTATGCTAAGGCCACTGCTCCTCTTGGGAACGCCTTATGGCATGCGCGGACACCAATACAAGCCTGTGGTTCTAGATATGAAGTGATTTGCCCATCCCCTGTGCTTGGAACGGCGAGCGGTGTATGTCTGGAACGGTTTGTGGAACATATAGTGGTAGCGAACTCAGTGCAATTATTCAAACGATCATTGGATGTGCATTTCTACAATCTTAGATTCTGTGAACGATTACCCACAGGCATCTTGCGTTGTTAAGACCGAATCTACAGTGAGTTAAACGATTTTTTAAGGATATAACCTGAGAATGTGAAAAATGAGCAGCGTATTGAATAGCCATGCATTGTTTTTTAACGTTTTCGGTCATATTTCAGTTGAGTTATACAGATACAAATTGCTACTTGCCCCCACAATATAGTATACAGTATTCAGTATATCTCAGTGCGTTTTATGTAAGCCTATGAGCTGACGGAATATGGGTAGTTGAAGGAAATTCGAGGCGGAGGAGGTACCCATATTGGTGCGGCCATCTTGTGGTAATCTATTGTGTTCTCAGACAAGCAAATTAGGTGAATATGATGAAGGAGGGGATGCATGATGTTCTGGTGCATCAGAAGTTCTCTTATCAGCTGCATAGCTGCTGCCGAATAACCTAAGATATTTTGAGGCTTTATAGGTTCTGACGGATGGGAGTTCTTATGATTCGGAAATACTGATGACCCGGGGTGGGAGTGTGGTTGTGTTACTGGTAGAGCGATTTGCTCAACATAATGTGGAGGATTGATGTTTCGGTAGGGTATCGGGATAGCAAGTTGCTGGGGAGTGACTTCAAGTGAGATAGACCACTGTTACTTCTGTAGCTTGCATTATGTGCACGGTCATTGTGGATATGACTGTAGTACGGGACCTTAGAAATATGCTTTACATTTGGCTCAAATGAATTCCGAGAATCAGGGCACTCTACTACATCAATCCTTGTACGCGACTCAGTAGTTTGAGGGAACACATTATTTTTATCTTTACAAGAACTGGTTGTCATTGGGTTTTCTAATGCATAGCAGGCCTCGATCCCCTGACCACTGGGAGATTAGTCAGAACTTCGACCCGTCTAAACACCGGGTCACAAGAGGCAACGATTGTCACAGTGGTTGATAACTGGTTTTTGGGTAACTTTGATACATTCGCGTGAACGGATTGCAGTGCGTAATCTACCTGATGTGATCGAATAATTTCCAAACTTGTCTTGGAGTGCGATGTTTTCAGGCGAGCGACATCCAATTGTTGTTAAGTTTGCTCGTTAGCTAACCGATTTACAAGTAAGTAATTTGGCAGTAGTGCCACACAGGACACACGCAGTCAGCACACTGCATTTGTGGTGGGAACATTACGTGAACCCGGACGTAGCGTTAACTTTGTCTACGTGCCTATTTGGTTTTGTTGCGGAGGCACAATCGAGAGATTCATGATGAGTAGACGGATTTAAGTCTGATTCTATTAGGCTCATCGCAATTAGTTCACAAGCCGCAAAGATGGGCTACCAGTCCGGAAATCATCAGACGATCTTTTGGCTCTGTTGTGGCAGTAATCTGCATGACAGTAAGGGATGGATCGGGCTAAATCGCAATTAGATTTCAATCCGTGCTGCTCGGCTATCGTCCTCCCGTGGCTAGTGGTACAAGCCAGTTGTGGTCATGGGTTCAATCCCCAGCAGGGGACCGAGGGAATGCGCACCACTAACGAGCCCCAATAGGGCAAAACGACGTCTGGTGTCTTTCCGGGTTGGTCTTTACTTCACCTTGAGTGCTGCGATCAACTTTATTATAAACACCTTGGTATGTATGACATGATATAAATTAATAAGAAAATTTTCTTTAAATCATCGCGACACTCTATATGAGGCATGATCAAACTTTTACAGGCAATTATTCGCAACAGGCACGTTGCGTTACACGTCATAGGAAGATGGCTAAATGGTGTTGATGTTGCAGAAGGAAGATAAGTATTAGTGAGGAACAAATTCCTTTGACATGACCATAGTCTGTTTTCATGTGTGTGCAGTATAGAGATAAACAGTAATAACTCATAAAGTGACGTGGTGACGGAATGTGCAGATAAGCATGTATCTCGTGATATATATAGGAATAATATTAAGATGTAGTGCTAATCAGCTTGCCAGTGTGAACAGTTGGGCTGTGAATTTATTCAGTGTCAAGTCACATCCGCCATGCCGCTGTGTTGTTAGACGGACATTTGTGGATTTTTATGGGGAGAACGCTTGCCAGGCCAAAACCCACCACGTGCTGAAACACCGCCGTCGATCCACTTTCACTGCAATATGTAACTGGCATTGCATCTTACTGACCGATATTTTTCTCTGGATCTACTTATTTCGTATTAGGTCATCGCCGAGTAACCAAAATAAATTCAGTTTACTCTTTGTTTGAATCAAATTCATGTACTCAGGCGCAAACCTGTCCATCTACATTACTTGTTTGCATTTTTTCAGTTATCCACTAATTATCTCCATCGAGTGCTTCGCCTCACCGCATCAACAGTTCACGTTGGCTAACTTGTTGGTATACTATTTGGGCCAAAGAATTCTCCCACCATCTAGTCAGTTCGAGTTCACACTTGGTGAAGCTCAGCTGGAAGTGGAAGAACACGTCGAGAAGCACTTCGACCCTTACCGGAAAAACAGTCTGACCACAGTGGATCTCAGCAACGAGGCCACTTTGTACAGTAACGACGGACTGCATGTACGATGGCCTTCACCTCGTGATTTAATTGGACGGATCTTGCTGAAGGGCAAACGGTTACCAAAGGGATACTCAGGTCAGGTGGGAAGCGACGTTGGTGTGGGTGCTGATGTTCGTGGAGCGCCATTTCGCTCATTTTCACACTCGGTTAGTCGCTTTCGTTTGTCAACTAAAGAGCTGTGTTTTCCCTTCAGTTTGATGTTTCCAGCTTGGAGTTAAAACCGCGATGATGTTGTAGTTAACGGCTGTTGTGCAAATTTTAATGAATTTCTTAACATCGTTACAGCACAAACCATTTTTGAACTAGTTAACAATACTCGTTAGTTCCCGGTGGCCACAACATCATAAAGATAAATTGCATGCTGATTAAACTATCTCCTAGAAGCGCACCTACTAGGGGTCACAAAAATGCTAACAAGATGAGCTGGTCTACATTGAAATAATGAGTTCGTGATATTGACTAATACTGTTCTAAGGTGAGGTTGGTAAGTTTGTTTCGACTCATTTGATTTGATGTTGAGGCCCGTAATCGTAGCCATTCTCTCTGGTTCACTACATAGGCAATGAATCCATCTTAGAGACATATCGTTCTGTACTATTACATAGAACCAAAACGGATTGCTAAAATATCGACACAACCAACAGCCGAACGAAAAAAGGTATCTAATCTGCCGGCATCATCGATCGCCAGACATCTACTCGAATCAGGCCATCGGGTTGACCCTAGGTCAACATCTACAGTTATCAATCAAAATGACAACCCCAAAGTATTGAGGTTTGTCGAAGCGGTGACACTTAACCCGCATCGCCCTATCCTTTGTGTACCAAAACACTTAACAGTCTCCCTAAAGCTTCCTTAGGGCTCATGACCCTAAGGTCAAGCTCCTTGATATGTTATTCTCGCGTATACGAAATTTTCCTTTGTGACCAGTTCCAAATCGTCGACTTTCCTGTCACGTGATTCATTTTTATGTTGTTAGTTTGCGAGTGAGAAGATAACACGAAATGGTTCCATCTCACAATACCAGTCTTCTCATTGTCTTATTTAGAAGCACAATTTTATTGCGCAACCAATCTCGTCTTTTTCAATTAGGCAATTCGTCCCCGTAAGCAAAACATTTAGTTCAAATATGCGAATAACCTCATACAGCTCTTACTAATCGTAACAGTTGCTAATCTTTCACCAATTTGGTTGAAGTAGATATTCAATTACATTGATGAGGTAGTCTCGACACACTAACAAGGCAGAAGGTACGTTTCAAGGCATTCGACCATGATAATTTCAAACTAGTGGAAAAACGCCAGTCGTCAGTGTTTAAAGAACAGGTGGGATTAACTTCGCCTCAAGAGTGTTTCGTTGGGGGCCAACTTAGATAAACCTAGGAAATAATTGGCCAATCGCAATGGAATCTGGCCAACCATTTAGTCGAATTTACTTCGAGTTCGAGCTCCTATAGCCGCTCTCTTCGTCAGCCAAGGTAGTCTCAGATCAGTGCGGGGTTTGTCGAGCTGGGTAATTTGCTTGCCAAGGTTTCGTCACCAGTCGGGTTAACATCATCGGTGCGTGGAAGTAAGCGGTTTCGTAACAGAAAATGGTGGGAGATAACTGCGACTATTGATGTCGCCAGTCAATTTTTGATTCAGTGTATAAGCTTTTTAGTCGTTAAGATTGGTCAATTATTTACTGTGCTCCGTATCCGTGCTTGAGTAGTTGCCATAAGCTGCCAAAATCTTTTTTACGACTTGGTGGAGATTTTATCACTTAGATTGATGTCAAAGGCACTAACACAGAATTCTGGTTTACGTCGAGTATCCTACCACGACCGCCTGTCCCCGTGGTCTGCAGAGGTTGCTCTGCCAGTCAACCCGATAAAGTCGTCAGTTACTAGTCTGGGGAAGGTTGTTAATGGATGTATGTACACCATAGCTGGCCAACCGCTGCATCCCACAAACTCCGTAAAGGATCTAGGCGTACTCTTACGCTGCGATATAAAGTCCGTCGACAACACAAACAAAATGTACGCAAACGGACTACGCCTGCTTTGGGCACTTGATGGTAGCTTCTGCACTTCGTTTGAAGAGATTGCCCCTCGTCTATTCTCTTAAATGATAAGCCCGGTGCTTGAGTACGGCTCACCCGCCTGTTGTTTGATCGTAATAGGTGAGGTGCGGAGAGAGAGACGGGCTCAGCATGTAGTTACCAGGCTCATCCCCTGTTTACGAGGTATGTCGTACGAGGACCGAAGTAGGAGACTAGGGCTGTATACCCTATCATATCCTCGGCTTCGGGTTGACCCCATAATGACCCACCGGATATTGTGCCCGTGCCACTTCCCTATGTTGAGGCCACTGCTGAATGTTCGCACACCAAGCAGCACACGCGGACACCGGTACGAACTTGTGGTACTGTATTTAAAGCGCCTCGTTCATCCTATATACTTCAAGAGTCGAGTGCTGAAATATAGGAACAAGTTGCCGGAGACGCTAGTCGTGGAAAAATCGATGTCGGGATTTAAGAGATTCCTCGACGACCACATTGCGGATTGCAGGTATAGGTAGCGTATTACACTAGGAAAAGATGTAATGCAGCTGTAATATGCTGCCACTGCGTAGGATCAGTGACATGATGCTGTTCAGGTATTCCCACAAACTACGGCGAAATAACGCATATTTATATCTGCTCTCTCTCTAATTTCGGTATCCAGTATTCAGTATGCACTGTCCGGGTAGCAGATTGTTTCCCCGTGAGCCGTAATTTTAACTCCGTCTCAGCACCTTCTATCTCAGTGGGCTGTATACTCCGATGTGCTTGTTGCTCCTTGACCTTGAACGACCTAGAACGATTCTGCGTTCCAAGCGCTCATCTGTGAACACGTTGTTTTGCTGCCGTTCTCAGTTGCATTTGGTTACACAAACATGTGTTCACACTCCGTCGACCCAGATTCATCTGCGCTATCTAGTGCATTCCATCTTTCAGATCTCGTTTGTTTGGATCGCCTTTTATCTCCACATTGCATTATTTGCGCCATTCCCGCAAAAACACAGTCGAGGAATTGTCCGAATCACGAACCACACCGCAATAGTTGTGGTCACAAACGAAAGCCAACTACACGTTTCATCTGACGAATCAGCAACCACAGCTGTGGACCGATCATCAAACTCGTTATTGTACACGTGGCCGTATGGTTCTGTTTGCCTGGTGAACGATCTAGCCGCTTAAGCCTGCTCCGTCTGAGCCAGACGCACAGAACATGAGGACGTTGAAAATGCAGACAATTCAGCGCACACGCGACCGGCAGGAAATCATAAGCGCTCTGGTCTCTATGGGAATATCATCGATCAACGCAATGGATTGTGGCGAGCATGTTACCGCATCCTGATCAACAGTTT